ATAGTACATGACTGCTGGGGAAAGCTGAGCTTTACCCACCTCTCTGACTGGTGTTTCATTCTGTTGTACATAGGGTTGCTATGAGTTGAAACCAACTTGATGGCACCTAACAACAACATACTACTCTGAGTAGATCATGACCCTTAACTAAAAATGGCAAGTCTCATCTTACAAAGAATGCAAAAATATTCCTGGAAGTCTTTAAGTGTTTTATTTTAGCTGATATTCTCTGCTTGTTAAAATGAATCCTCACTAGAATCCTATTTGGATTTTAGCTAGTACTACAGGAAAGTTGATATTAGAAAACTGAATTTGAGATCTCACTATGGAACATAGCCTGGTAGAGGAAGCTCTATTTCTTTCTCTCTTATTTTTCATACATTGTAATTATGGAAGCTTCTTCAAGATACCTTGAGTGAGACCATTGAACATTATCATGTTTGAATACATTGGCAAATTTGTCTTCAGCTAACTAGCTAAGCCCTCTCCCCAAAATTCTGAATTCTTCTAAAAACTTGTACAGCAAACTCTGACTTTCTCATACACATTTTTTTTTTCTCTTCTATATGGAGATTTAATATTCGCCATCTGTCTTTTCTTTACATACAATGACCTTGATATCATCTCACAACTTGCTTGGTCTTCAGTCATTAGTGTTGAATATATCAAATTTATTCTTGAGATGGTCTCTAAATTCAAGTAGAATATACTCAAGCTGTACTTTTGTTCTCATGAACTGATTTTAATTTTCTTCAGTTTCAACTTGAACTTAAATAGGAGCAATTGATGATCTGTTCTGCAGTCAGTCCCTGGTATTGTTCTGACTGATGATATTAAGTTTTTTCATCAAGGCCATCTTACATGAAGAAAGAAAAAAGGTTATTTAAAAAAAAGGAAAGAAAAAAAAAAAGACCAAAATAGATGTCAAAGAGACTCTGAAACTTGCTCTTGAATGTAGAGTAGCTAAAGTGAATTGAAGAAATGGTGAAGTAAAAGGTCTGAACAGACGATTTTAAAGGGCAGCTGGAGAAGACACAGTAAAATATTACAATGAAATATGCAAAGACTTGGAGTTAGAAAACTAAAAGGAAAAAACATGCTCAGTATTTCTCAAGCTAAAAGAACTGCAGAAAAAAAATGCAAGCCTCTAGTTGTAACATTGAAGGATTCTGTGGGAAAAATATTGAATGATACAGGAAGCATTAAAAGAAGATGGAAGGAATACACAGAGTCATTATACCAAAAGGAATTGATCAATGTGCAACCATTTCAGGAGGTAGCTTATAAAGAATGAGCAAAACTGCTTGGAAGACGTATAGCTACAGTGATTCTTAGAAGTGAGGATGGTGAGATTTTCCCTCATGTACTTTGTACACATTAGCAAAATGGACAAATTCCTAGAGAAGGACATCATGCTTGGTAAAGTAGAGGCTCAGTGAAAAAGACAAAGACCCTCAGTGTGATGGATTG